CCCTCCTTCACACCCATTAGCCCTCGTGCCTTCCTTCATGTACGCCCTGCACTGGTGGCATTATGCCATAATCTGCAGATGCAGCAGCCGGCAGTCTGCTGTGTTTCCTTTTTCATTTATTCGTTGTTATTAACTGGTAACCATGCATATATCATTTATAGTGACGGAGCACAAGGTGACATCTTGTCCAACCAACAGTACTCAATTTACTATCACATGTTAGACAAAAAAAAGTCACGCAATTGTTGGCATTTTGACAAATCCTTTCAGCTGTATATTATATTAATGTAGTAAAACACGTTCTTTGAAAGTGGCAAATAAAACACACACACACACACACACACACACATGTGAGCAACACAGTCGAGTAAGCTGGGTAAGACCTCTTTCAAATCAAACAATGGGTGACACAGTGTGTGCCAGTGTTATTTATAGTGATAACAATCTCCAATCCCTCCATGGACTTCGGATAACCCAGAGGAACAGCTGCTGATTAACACACATCGCTGTTAACTGACTAAAATCACACAAACGGAGCCAAAGATCCGGAGACATGAAAGTCCCATGGAAACGATTGTGTGGGCCTCACCGACGGGACATATGATGTCATTAGGAACTTATTTCATAAGTATTTCCCTTCCATTGTTTGCTGTACGACTCTGACATTTGATTCTTGGCACAAAGGTATTCGTCAGATATGTGATGAGAGCAAACCTGTGACCTTTGAGTGACTGAAGAGAGTCTCAGCCACTCCCACCCTGCTGTTCTTACACACACACACACTCACACCTACGCACACCACAGTAAAAGGAGAACGTTAAGACCTGACACAGTACTCTGGAATGCAAACTTAGTCCCCCCCTCGGTCCGCTCATGTGGAACTAAATAAAAGTACAGTAGAAGGAGAGGGAGTGAGGTGGTGGGGAGATAACTCAGTACATTCCTACCTTAAGAAAAGCGCTTTTGTGGCTGTAAATACACTTCTGCACACTGCTCTAAAATGCACCATGCGTTACAGCGTGCTAGCCAAGCTTTGCTGGATCCTAACACTCCTTAGTAGCCTAAAGGTAGCTCCACTTCTCATTACACTTGTGGCAGAAAAAGAAAAAAAACATGGTTCAAAAGAGAGCAATGACAAAAGCCTTGCTGGCAACACTTTCTTTTGATCGTTCATGGCAAGAATGGCTTCCAGGGGATGAGTCACCTATTCAAGAGGTTCCCATACCTCAACGTGCCCTTATACCTCTCTGCTCAGGACCCATCAGCACTTGATCAATAATAAATGGCTGCAGGTGCAGCACAGTTTCACTGCAGCATCATGACTCTGAGATACTGGGAGAGACAGCGTCGAGGGTGTCAGAGGAGGCACGAGAGGCGGCTTCAGTCACAGTAACACCTCATCCAGCTGTGCACACTGTGCTCTTCAGGCAGCTGCTGCTGATGGCGAGACACACCATCACCCTGCAGCGGCAGCTTAATACGCCCTTTATGTTACAGGCGCCTGGGTCTGAAAGAGAGAGCTAAGGATGTGATGTTACTTCTTCTATTACACAGATGCGGTTTCGGTTTACAACAGATCTGGTTTCAGTCACATTCTGAACACCATTAACCACAGCAGATTATACACTATCACATTCATTATGTTGGCTCCTGATGCGTTTGAGGCACTGGGCAGTGTCTAAATAAAAGGCACATGTAGCCTGCGATGTTGGCTCAACATAAATATGGGTAAGGAGGACTAAAGGCTGTCTGATGAGAAGGAAACCATTTTTTTCCCCCACGATGGCAGCATTGAACTTCATCAGTAATTCCTGCGAGGGGTTGCGTGTGTCTCAGGCGTTTGGCAAGGATATACCCAGTGAAATGAACGGCAGCGTCGCGACAATCAATTCGTTTACCTACCTTTTTTACGGTCTCAGACGTGTGCCATATCCCTCTCGTGCGTCTCGGTATCAGTGTTTCGGTGAGAATCTGGCGCTCCTGCGCTCCTGCGCTGCTGCTGCTGCTGTACCGCACTGACAGGGGCAGCTCCCTCACACGATCCTGGCCATTGTGGTTATCAGTACCAGAGAGGGAGGCAGCATGGAGGTGCAACACACTTCAAGTGCACTCAAATCTGTATTTTCAGCTGTAGCCCACAAGAGGTCGTCCTTTACTACATACTCAGATCTGCTACAAGCAGGAAGTTAGTGCATGTTCCCAGTGACATTTTTTTAAATCACCCTCCATTCAAAAATGTGTTACTTCTCGTTGATGTTTGAGCTTGTGCAGAATGATGTGTGTACAAAGTTTGACTAGAGGGTCATTAATGTGCTGAAAGAGGGAAGTGTATCTGTACTTATCCTAAACTCTGATTTAGATGATTGCCTCGCATCTACTGGCCAATGTGGTCCAATAAAGTGTGATGTGGAAACATGAAACCACAGTTCACACACGCTGAGGATGGACTTTTCAGTAAAGTAGGAGACATTTTGTATCCAGTTGTGAAATTTGTGAAATTTACAGATTCACTGAATGTTTTTTTTTTAATGAGGGAGAACGAGAAGATGTAATTTGTTTTAGTTTGTAGGTACTTCATTGAATTTTCTTTGTCAAAAAAAACCCCATAAAAACACATCGTACATAAATGTATTGTACATGCTGTTGCGAGTGCACTGAGACCTAAGACCACCAGGTTCACTGTATTGTATCTGTTTTGTGGTGATTGTAATATCATTTGGGGAAACGGGTGTATGCATGACTATAACACAGTATCTACTGACGTGGTAAAGGCCTTGGGTCCAGCTTCAATACCTGATCTTGAGGCCCTGTCTTGAAAGGAAGGTCCTACCTACATGTGATTACACACCTGATAAGTGTCATCCCAGAAATACAATTTCTAGAAGTTTTGGTGTCAAAGGCTTTACAGCAGCACACTATCAGGTTCAAGACAAGTCACCTGGATTTTGTGAGACAGAAACAGAGTAAGTTTGGAGGGCATACTTCTGCCACAAATCCCTTGGACATATTGGCTAATAAAAGATATTTCATCTCTAAACAGACAACAGAGACAAAATGTGAGGGAAAGAGGCAGTTTTCACTATATATTCACACAGGAAAAAAGGGCAACGGAAGGTAAGAGCTGGTAGGATGGTGGTGTTTGTAAAAAACAACAACAACAACAACCAGATTAATATCAGTGATACACAATACAGCAACGTTGAGTTTATTCTTGACATTCAAGACTGCAACTGACAAAATAATCTCACCCCATTTAGTAAATGTTCTAGAGCTTTTGATATTGACAGATCAACTCTATTTATTATTTTACTTTTAACTAGCTAACATGAACAATATGGACATTTGATCAACTACAATCTCATAACAACTGAACTCCATCTGCTGACGAATCTCATGTGATATGATCGAAAGCTCCAGAACAGCTAAAAGCAAATAAAGCAAGGTTTTCAATGGCTCAAGGCATAAACAAAACACAAATAGCTATACTTTTGAATATCATCAAAACATTTTAAGGCCTGTTCAGAATAGAATATTAACTTTTAACAGTTAAATCTCCCCCTATCTCCATCAGAGGGCAGTGCTGCTCCTTCCAAACACAGTCTGTGGCGTGTGTTAGAGATGTATGCAGACTTAAATAGCTTACAGTTCTTGCCTAGTTTTAGTATTCGACCCACTTTGGCAAAAACTACAGAATATAAATAGCCATCTATGTATGGCTTGTACAGCTTCCACTGCCACATTTATCTTAGAATCTGATGTTAGGCTTGGCCTGTCCTCTCCTCCCAACATACCTATTGTATCCAGTGTGTAGTCCAAGTGTGTAGTGTGTGAACTGTGCAGTGTTCAGACAAAGGGCTGTCACTCTTACTGCTGGAGTGGACATGAACAATACCTCAAGCCCCTCGGGCCACATTACACCAGAGACTCACATAAAGGGATGAGAGAGGGAGCACAGACGGCTTCTGACTAATGGAGAGAAAAGTCAAAGGGACGTGCAAGAGTTTGTATCCACGGCTTGATCTCATAAGAAAACATAAAAGCCGTATTTTGGGAATTTGCAAAGCCTGGGCATAATGTAAAAAACACTCAGAATAACCTCAGATAACAGTCTAACGGACTGTTTTGCTTTGATATTTTGTGCTAAAGTTAGAAAAATCCAAGTCTTAATCAAATCATGTTGGCATTCATCCCAAAACATTGAGCAAAGAGTTACCACTTCTTTCTCTCTTGTCTTGGTATACGTTCACTTTACTCAATCATTTGTATGTATGTCCACTTGTGTGTGCGTGTGTGTCCCCAGAGAGGAAGGAGACAGATGGCGGTAGTATGGTTGTCTGGAGAAACACCTGCCCCATCCAGAGGGAGAGAAACCCCAACAAATACCAAGACCTCATGTGGTAGAAGAACAGCTGTAATAATATCCCTTCATGGCTTTACTTGAAATGAATAGAGCTACAAAAAAAAAAAGCTTTCAGAAGACACGTCGTAAGATGAAATCTATTGGTAAGGCCTTCAAATAAGAAACTTCTTTGTTCAGAAATATTGTAACATAACGGGGACAAATAACATCTAAAATGTTTCTTTTATATTTTATACAGACGTCTAGTAGAATATCGTTTGTGCAACTGAAATAAATATATTTACAAATTAGTGCACACAGAAAAGTCACATAACTGGCAGCAAATTTAAGGTCAAGCATTGCAATGTTTCAGTAGTTTGGCTACAACAATATAATATACAGCACCTTTCAAAATATGTCCATTCTATTCATCCTGTTGATGACAGTAAGCCTGCAGTCCTGCAACTATTTCCGATGATGAAATACTAATGTGATGTTACCATGATTAAGATGCATGACAGTCTACTACAGTGTGCCATTAGTTTAATATGACCTTATAACCCCAGGGCATTCCCCATATCTATGGGTGTTAATGTACAGAAATCCTTCATCTGTGGTGTGAACAGTCATCCTGCCTCAGTCCATCCTCCTGTTGGTCCTCCTAAACATCCAGCACGTGGTTAAGGTAGGAGATGTAACAAATCGCGAGTTGCAGGATCTCAATCTTGGACAACTTCTTGTCTGGTGGGAGCGTTGGGAGCAGCTGTCTCAGTTCTGCAAAGGCCACGTTGAAGGCCACGACGCGGACGCGCTCTCTGGTGGCGTGCGCAGATCGATACTTATCCGTTGCGCGCCTCTTCTGCCTCTTCTCCTCCCTGCTGAGGGCGGGCACGTGCACGGAGCGCGCCTTGCCATTACCATCGTCGTGTTCGGCTGGAACGGAACCACACTGCACATTGAAAGTGTCCAGAAGGGTCACCGTGTCCATTTGTCCCCAGGACGGGTCGGACTCTGGCTGGCCAGGACTGAGGATCATGCTTCTGTCCTCACACTGGAATTATCCTGAAGAAAATAGAAGTCAGTAGAAATTACATCTATGTTCTATGTTCTGTTTCAACGACTAATAGTCAGGAACTGTGACAAATACAATGTCCACATATTAGGCATGGGGGGGGGGGGGGGGGGGGGGGTATTTCATACTCAAAAACTCTCATGCTCTTCGTCAATTTTGAGGTACTAATTTATTTGACTATTTCCATTTCTACATTAACTACAATTCCAAAACAAACATTAAACTACTAGATTCAGATTAACTACAAACTATAATCAACAATATTATTCTTATGATATTGTTATAGTCAAATTGTAAAACTTGGCTAGAGATAAGAGACAAAGGACCCTGAAATATGAGGGACTGGTGGTGTCCCCTAGTGGAGGACTACACATTTGCTGCTTGCAGAGACCAGCGCTGTCCGAGGTGCTGAAACAATATCAAGACTACAAAATCAAACGCGACTTATAAAGCCATTTAGTAAGCTAACGATTATTTGAGACCCGTTCTTGTTACCTCAAGACAATTAAAGAATCGAAAAGCATTTCATCATATTTTGACTTGTGAAATGTACTTTACCTGCACTGGAAATGGATGTATTTGTAACACATTTGGCATTTTTCCTTATTTGTTTAAGGAAAAAAATAAATGTATTTTTTAACACATTGCCAACTCAGAATATTTCTATTTTCAGCCAGCGCTGAGCTTCTTTTTTTCTGCCTGTTTAGCGCAAGCAGGAGTAACTTTAAGATTAGGTTTTCTGTTTATATCGTTTTTTGTTTTAATAATTCCATTATGTTTGACGTTTTAGCTTCTTTAAACTAAGACTATTTGAAGCTTGCAATCAGCTGAGCCGATATTAAGAACAGCTCAAACCTCTGAAAATGCGCTGCAGAGCAAAGGTTTTGTAGAAGTGCAGGATGACATTTTAACTTACCTTGCAAACAACAGAGCCAACTGATTCAAGAGTCTCACATATTAAAGCAGCATCGCTAACCCAATAAAGAGTCAGTGCAGCAGCAACACGTAAAGTTATCTCCCCACCAGCCTCCATGCTGTTTTTCTTTAGTTTTATATGATGTTGAGTCGAGTGAAAATGCTGGTAACAGTGTGTGGGTGAAAAGAAACTCCGCAGTCCCTCCTGTCCTCCTCCCTGTCCGTCATATTGTCAGGTGCACATGTCATCCTTCAGTAAAATATCTGCCTGTTTCTCCCATCCAACCTCGCCTGGTTGTGCGCAAGATAACACAATCTCCTGTGAAAAAAACAAAACGGAGCGAAGTGACGAAACAGCAGGATAATGAATGTTTGTTGTTAAACCTCCAGCTTTCACTTTCAGTTTCGTCCCAATTTCGACGTGTGCACAGATTAGCTTTGTTTATGGCGCAGCACGTTTCATTTTTAAAGGTTACAACCCAGTGAATTTATTACCAGCCTTGTTGTCGATTAACGTAAATTGACTATAGTCTGCTAGATGTGAAACTACTTCCTATGAGCCATATTGTTCCTGGATCCAGTCAGTATAAGGTCAATTGAGCACCTGTATCTAAATAGTCTCATTGCCAAAACAAAAATTGCCTCCACCTATTTGGTCCATTAAAACGTCCTCAGTAAAACAGTGACAGCTCATTGCATCCTTTGTCTAAAGAATGTTTGTGTCGTATCTGTGAAGCCTTGGCTGGTGATGAGAGTGTTAAAATCTCAATGAGATAGCAGATTACAGATAGCTGGGAATCTGTAAACCACAGTCCACAACATTCGATTTGGTCATAAGATGTTCATTTCACCAGAGCACATGCTTTGCCATTTGCAGTACTTTAATGGGCCCAGTGCTGATTAGAGGGTTTTGGAGAAGGAGGGTGAGGGGGCTGTATATCAAAACAGCTCATATCCAAGCAAGAAAATGGGAACCGAGTTTAATAAAGGCTACTCAGTTTAGTGCCTTTTATTACAACCTATGTGCACCACAGAAGATTAAATTCTGATATTGTGGTTCAGTTTACTTGTAGGCTGGTACTGAGGTTCTGGCATTTTGTTTTTGATCTCCTTATCTCTTGGAGGAAAATGTCAGTCCTAATTATAACATAATAGTTGTGAATAAATCACTAAAGGGCCTTCACCCCTGTGCAGATGGTGGAAAAATAAATTCTCGTACACTGTTAAAAATGGCATCAAAAACGGTCAGTGTCCGTCCCCCCCAAATGCTGCACCTGCCCCACCAACGCCAAGTATCCCCCCCTCACCCCAGGTAAAGGAGACGTCCAGTTACCTGGGCTCTTCATGTTGGGAAATAAAACGTTCTGTGAACGTTAGGTAAATAACGTCCCGCTAATGGTCTGAAAACAATGTTTTGGATTAGCTACCAACAAAAAATCGGACAGCTAACATGAGCATCAAGTGATAGATCATAAAATAAGCTTTCCAACAATATGTTTTTGTACGTGGCATAAATAAAAATAGAAGTAATGTATGGAAGAAGAAATGTAACAAATGAGCCAAAAATGTACTTACACCCTGGAGATTTCAAAATGATGAACACAAAATTGAGGGATGGTCAAAATGTCTCTACTTTAAGGTTAGAAGTGAAGAGGCTGATGCTGACTATGAACATGCTGAACAAAATAGGCAATGTCCCTCTGTCCCTCTGTCTCAACCAACCCCGCTCTCATGACGTGATTCAGGAGAATGCAACATATAGGAAGTTTGGTTTTATGCACGAACCTCAATGTGGATTTAATCAACAGATTAGATGACTGTAATTTAGTGGTGAAAAAGTTTGTGTTGACCAACTGTTTGTGTTTGCATACATTAAGTTTCATTACTTTTACCTTCTTTCATGTCCGTTTGCCAGTAGACGCAACCCTCTTGTGTAACCAACACATTTGTACATGCAAACAAGCTGAAGTAGTTTAATCTTAATTTTTCCCTCCCCTCCCTCCCTCAGCTCTCCAATCTGTCTGGTTACCATCTGCTGTCATATATTGTTTCTGCTGATTTGGAATCAGATGACATCTAATCAATCAGCTTTATCACCATGGCTACAGCAGTCAGGAGGAAGAGGCTGGAGGAGGAGGAGAGAGGTGAGCTTAAAGCACATCATATTTTCTAGCTCAGCACTGAAGTAAGATGAGACACATCAGACACATTTAGCAAACTACAAACAATTATTTACACTGTTGATTATTTGGGTGATTCATTGAAAAAAATAAAAGAATAACAAATCAATGCACATCATGAGTTTGTTTTGTCTAATCAAGGATGAAAAAAGGTACTCATTGAACAATGATACAAAATAAAGAAAGGTAGCAAATCCCTGTATTTAAAAAGCCGGAGACAGGAATGTTAAATCATGTTTGCTTCAATTAACAATCAGTTATATTAGTTAGCTGTTCATATTGACTAATTGAATAGTTTCAGCCCTAGACTGTGTGTCAGTTGGGAATACAGGACTAAAATTAAAGGCATCTGATTGGAAGAAGAAAACACATAATGGCCAATGTTTCAATTGGGTGAACAGGGTGATGATGTGCTGTTCATGGCAACACATTAAAGGTAGTGTAAGGAAAGGTACGATACTGTAGTCTGATTCTACTAGCAGGTAAAATAAATGATTGCAGTTTGAAGAAACACTTTATTTTAGTCAGCTAACCATTGTGCAAGTTGTCTACAGGCAAACATACGACATGTAAATAATACAATTTCAAATAATACACTAAATGAATGATTAATACATATTTACATGGTTTAAATAGAGTTGTTCTTTCAAGGAAATTGAATGACGTCGTACCAAGTTTGTGCCATGCACTTTGCAAAGGTAAAGTAAAGGTAAGAGCTGTGCTATAATTGAAATGGAGTTGTATCCTGCTGTTCTGTTTGTTGACAACATAACAAACGACCGTAGCAAGTTTTCATACAGTTTTACTTCCAACCTGGCACTTAGTTCTGTTTGTTTTTTTAGGCCTGGGCACAAAATTCCCAACTGTAAATTAAGAGGAAGAGCTTCCCAGAGGAGCAGGATGAGGCAGTAAACAGACCATTTACAAAATATAATTGATTGTAGAGAAGCTTAAATGGAAAAGTAGATGGATTTGTTTCACACCTGAGAATAGCAAGGGAAATGCCTGCATGAGGTTTTATGTGAGTTAAAATGTAAGTGTTATATCCTTCCGCCAATTCAGTAACAGACATTACAGAGGACACCTGTTTCTAACTCCTCAGGGGCAGTTAATGGACAGTGGAGAGGCGTAAGACATGTTAACGATAAAGAGGGAGACTTTCATTCAGTCAGAGAGTTTACTCTGGAAGCAGTGACTCTTATCTCGGTGCATGCCTCTACTGTGACATTAAATAGATATGCACAGGGTCTGTCTGTCGTCCACTCTATTCACGATGCAACTCCGTGTTTTGCTGCTAGACACCGTCACAGTTCAGTGAACATCACTTCACCATGTTGCCTTCAGGGGCTTGGGCTCAGGAAACCCTCCTTGGCTGACAAAATATAATAAGTGACTTATTATCCCGACGAGGACAGAAGAGAAGAAAAAGTGACCATGAGGATTATGGGATTATAATATTTAGCTTTTTTTTTTTTTTTTTTTACTGGAAAGCAGCTAGCATACTGTGTATTAAAGGCAAACTGATTAATATACCTGGTCACAAGTCAGGCCAGATGCAATATGTACGGGAATATCGTTTTATGAAAGTGATTTTGCCGCTGACCTGAAAGCATCCACAGTAATAAGGAAAGTATTGTGAGACGTTAACATTAATCCAAAAGTGGAACTGAAGGTAAGTCTATATTGAGCTTTCCTCTCTCTCTCTCTCTCTCTCTCTCTCTCTCTCTCTCTCTCTCTCTCGAGGCTTTCATTGTTGAATCCCTTGATATGGAAAGAAAATGTTTTGATCTTGTTTCAGTTTTTTCCCAACTCGTTTTAATTTACTATATTATTTTGAGAACTACTTCATTGGAGATATCACACGTTTCC